TTTTAAAAAATTTGGTTTTATTCAAAATCACTTCGAGATATGAGAAAATATTGGGCTTTATAATCAAATTCAATTCCGGGCTACAGCGCATTTTTTACAAATTCTTAAAGTGTATGAACACTTTTGGGAGCAACTGTATCACAAGCACAGTTATCTTGGATATTTACAGAAGAACACTGAACTATTTGTCTATGATGAGGAACACTTAATGGAAAAAAAAACAAGCTATTTATTTAAATTATTCCAAATACATGAAATATTTGCTTCTCTATCAAAAATTGAGATATATATATATTATTAATAATCAAAGCTTAGTTTCTTTTAAACTTAGAAATGATTTACCTAATAGGATCCTTAGGAAATCTGAAGAATTTCCTGTCTGGTGTTTTTCGAGACGTTGTCCCACAAACACAACAGCGATACCAGGATTTGGGTTGTTTGCTAAGTAAAAGATAGAGTGAGTTAGTCTGTTATTCACCACACCACATCAAATATTGAGAGAAATCAAAATTATATTTTTATAATAATGAATATAAAATTTTCAAAAAAATCATAAAATACGAAAAATTGTATATAACTATCAATATACTAAATTAAAAATAATAGTCTTCAGTGGCCACTAATATTAAATAAGTTTATAAATTTTCTCAGATAAACTATTTGGTAATCTATAGCATAAATTTAAAGCTGAAGCATAATACAATTTATTAATAAAATTAATTTATGCAATCATACATGCCATTAGCTGCCGCATTATTATAAATGGCAAATTTATTCCTGATCGCTCGTTTTGTCGTAATATTATTATTAGTTGACTTTAAAGCTTAAAACTCATTTAAAAAATTTGGAAAGAAATACCAATATGCCTGCACAAAACTATAGTATTTGTTTGCCATATGATTAATTATATAAATTGAGATTCATATGCTAAAATGCAAAGTTAATATATTAAGAATGAAAATCTAGCTGCTGTGTTATACAATGAGACAAAATATTTTTGGAGCTTGGGAATCAAAATTAATGTACTATACAAAATCAATTTTTAAAATCTATGATAGGTTTTCGAATTAAAAAAAGCAAGCTTACCTCACAGAAAGAGAATCGGGTGAATTCCGGTGATCGTCTTGCGAAACATCCATCATATGATCTGCTTAAATAACTAGAGAAAAGAACTGAAAAAAAAACTTTCAAAGAACCTCTTCGAACAACGCGGTAAAAGATTGCTAATATGGCTGACGACATGCCGGTTTCTTGCCTGCTATTTCGCACATGCGCAGAAAGGTACGGAGGGTGGATGGATTGCCCCTTTAAAATAAGCTTCAGGGACATACACAGTGTCTCTTCAGTCTGACGGAGCCACATTTGCCTCGGGAAACCTTTACTTCTTCTCCTTACAGATTCTTTGACCTAGACTACAAAGTCAGAAAGCTCCACTTATGAGTCATGCCAGTTAGGCTATCGAAATTACGGTAGCGCAACGACCATATAGTTTCGGAAAGAACTTACAATCTATTTTTTTACTGTTGACGTTTTATTTTAATATATTTATAATTACTTTCCTCCTTTAAAGCACTTGCAATCTTGATTTTTAAATTTAAATCGAATTTTCTTTAAAATAAATACTAATCAAAGTTACATTTCAGCATAGCAAATGTTAAACTATTTTTTTCTGAAAGGTGTTATAATTATTATCAAAATTATATTATATTAACTATTTTAAATAAATAAGTCAGACTTAGAACTTTTATTTTGATAACACAATTTTTTTTTTATTTTCACAAAAACAGAAATACAAACTACTACTCAGAATCACAAAAACTAATAGAAGGATGAATACAGTTTGAAAAAAATAATGCATCATACAATTAGTTTTAAGCAAAAGGATCTGATTTATAAGCAAGATTAAAAATGTGGAATTAATTCAAAATTATTCGATTTGTGGGATTTTACACACATTTTCTACAGTGATCTCATAGGAAGTACAAAAACTGAAAAAACATTAAATTGCAATTCAAAACATAAATTATAATGATAAAAATAGCTCGTTTTGAAATTTAAAAAAAAATACAAGAAATAAAGTTTTTGGATCATTTACAAGAGCTGGAGTAAAATATATCTATAAAGAGCTAATTATAATTAAAAATAAATTATAATACAACATATATTGTCATGACGAGTCGAATGAATAAATAAATTCGAAGCTATTGAGTTCATCATGGTTATTTACAAAATTCTGATGTTTTTAAAAAATATAAAGCTATATAAGTTATATAAAATTGCATTCTATCATGTCAGAATATAATTAGAGAATTTGAAAAAAGCAAATGTCTGTCTCTGTTCATAAAACAGACTAATGGTTGAAAGTGAATTATATAAGTTATGACTTAAAAATTTAGAATGGAAAAAAAAATCTGTTTTGAAGCTATTAGAAAATTGCAGACATGTCTTTAAAGCTCAGGAAGTTACTACTAAACTTTTATATACTTGTGTTGCATTTTTAGACATTATTATTAAAACAAGTTAGATACTTTTTAAGACTAACTGTAAATTACTTTTTTATTTACTTTATCAAAGTTGATAATTTTCTTTTTTTACAAGCAGGTTTTTTTAAATCATTTTTGTTTTTTTGTTTACAATAGTTATATTTTCAGCTATGGATCAAAGGAATGGCCTTTTACACATTTCAATATCCAAATCCTCATTTGACATCAAAGCATTCAGAGTTAAATTTACAGCTAAATATCTTTGAGCAGGGTGTTTTAAAAACTTACTTTCAAACTCTTGAGATACAAGTTTTTGTACTGCAATAAAATTATATAAAACAACATTTAAAACATGAGGCATAGGGTACAAAAGGACACCCCTATCTCATTTTCTGATTGAATTAAATTCGGAAGGGATATTGAGTTCTCTATCAATAACCCAAGTTATTTTACAAAATTCTCATGGATGTTTTTTAAAGGTTGTTAATAAATGGTTAATAACATGGATGTTTTTTAAAGGTTGTTAATAACATGGATGTTTTTTAAAGGTTGTAAAGAATAAAGGCAATAACCAGCTATATAAGTTAATATAGGAACATATGGCTGAGCTTTTATCATCTCATTTTCAGATACTACAAGAGAAAAAGTTTCCACAAGAGATACATCAATGTTTTCCCCCTCACGATCATTCCTTTCATTTATTTCGATAGCAATATTTCCAAAAGTACTTGAATTAAGCTTTAAAGGTAATAAGCTTTGCATTCGTAATTTTGACTCAGATTCATAAACCTGTCTAATGGAAATACAGTATTGCGAACCAGAAAGTTGGCGATACTTGCCAAAACGATCTTCTAACAAATCTGTTTGTATTTTACCAGGTAAAAAATAATTCATGCCTAGCTCTTTAATGCAATACTTGCCCAATTCAATAAGTGCATATGTTGTGTTTCTCAGAGCATCATGAGTTTCTTTTGACAAGCAACCAGTAGTGCATTTTGCATCTTTCCATTTGTCCAACCAGTTTACAAAGTTATTTAAATACTCAACATTTGAGTCTACATTTGAAAATATCAGTGGTTCTTGAAAAGAACATTTCAGTCGTTTGCCTTTAAGAGGTGTTTTGGTATTTACTATACACCACCATTTATAAATTATATCTATATAATTAGCTGTTGATTCATAACTATCCAAATTGTGTTTATTACCTAGTTCTGTTAAGGCTGTGATTACCCAGTTATTAAACACTTGTAAAACTAATTTAACATTCTGCCTTTCAAGATTTGAAGGCCATAAAGCTTTAAGAGTTAAACCATACCCATATTTAATTAAACTATCAAATTCAAGATCATGTAGTTTTCTTATAGTATTAAATGAGGCTGCATTAAATTCTTCACTGCCAACAGCGTTAAATTTAGGAAAATACATAAACAAGCCATCATTTTTTTGGCCAATCCAATTGTTACGAATACATTTTAACAAATGAACAGGATCAATGACAAAAAAAAGGGGTCTGTGTGGTTCATATGGATTTTGGTACATAATTTTAATTTCATGCTTCTCACTAAAGAAGGACATGGCTTTCCTGTTAATGCTATTATTATCACTAACCACACAAACTACCTTAAGACCTATCTTTTCAAGACCTACAATTACATCTCTTAAAATTTCAAACAATTTTTCTGCACTAAATGATTTTATTGGCAGGATGTGAGCAACATCTTTGTAAGATGATAATAAGCTTCTAATCATAAATGTATATGCTGAAGAAGCAGCAAATGCACTGTCATATGCAGAACCAACAATATTGCCACCTTTAAAATCATAAAAAGGTTTTAGATGAATTTCATCCATCATTAATATTACATTGTGCTCACATTCTTTTAAAGTTTTAAATTTTTGTTTAATATACCTTAAGAAATTAGAGTGCTGCTGCTCTTCAGAGACACTGACATTTAGATTAGAACATATGTTTCGTAGAGTAACAGTGTGAGGCATGATCAGATTTCCAGAATTTCGCATAAATTTATAGGCGTGGGGTGAAATCGAATTTAAAATACAGGCAAAAATTAAGAAATGGGGGGAATATCTTAAACGTTGTTTTGGAAGGCACAGCAAATTCAGTTGCTCTTTTAAAAATGTTAAAACACATTTTTTATCATCTGAAACAATGGCATCCAGTTTATCTATAAATATATTAATAAAATTAATTATATTTACAATACTTTCTGGAGCTCCTGCTTCTAGAAGTTCAAGTGCATTTAAAATATTATCAATTTCATGAATACTTTTAACATGCATGGGTAACTTACTATCATTTAACACTTTTAGTTCTGCAGATTGGTGAAACGCTGATAACTGCATACTATTATTGATAGAAATACAGTATTTAAATACTGGAGAAGGACTTATTTCAAAAATTCCAATAACAATTGTATTTGATTTCATGACAACAGTAAATTTTTGAGTAAAATTGTTGTAATTTAAACAGTTCTGTAATTCACTGAATGTTGTAAACACTGATTTTGAATCCTCAGATTTTTTTGACATAATGCTTTTGGAGATAGCCATTTGTAGTTGTCGGTTTTCACGGATTGTTTGTCGTTCTTTAACACTTTCTCTTATGGATACATCAGTGGATAAATATGATGGGGCACCAGGAAGTTTTGTTGGAACTGCATCTTTCCTTAGTCTCGGAATTTTTAATGGAGCTGATAATGTTTCACCAGTTTCTTCAAGATACATATACGTCTCCTTTTCAATATCACAAGGGCTAAAATGAAGTTCACACACCTGTAAAAAAATAATTTTCACTTAAGAATCTGTTATACATAAACATACAATTTACAAGATTGAAATCGGTTTAAAACCAATTCATAACTGTATTTTAAAACTTATAAAACTGAACTTACAGAATAATTTTCTTTTAATTTGGATGTTAATACTAATTCAATGGTTATCTCGTGCGTAACCGGTTATACCAAAAACTCGCAGTTAAAACAAAATATCGTGGTAAAAAATAAAGTATCTACAAATCATCGCATGACGATAACATCGCAGACATGCCTTTTTCAGGCTTTAATAACTGTAAATGGATATTCCCATAATGATTTGTGAGCGCAAGTGATGTAAGGAAGGATAATTTTTACTTTCACATTTTTTTTAACTAATAAATTTTTGCTGAAAAAAATAAGAAGGAAACTTAAGCATAGAAAATTAAATGCAACTTAATAGATTATACTTTTTATGAAAAATTACCTGTAAAACTTTATAAAAAATGATTTATTAATGGTCTTTGTTAGTTAACTTTCGGTTTTAAAATTCTATTAAGTGCTATAAGTTGCATTAATTTTCTATGCTTCCTTCTTATTTTCTCAGCAAAAATTTAATATTTAATAAAAAATATGAAAGTAAAAATTATCCTCCTTTACATCTTGCGCTCACAAATCATTATGGGAATATCCATTTACAGTTATCAAAGCCTGAAAAAAGCATGTCTGCGATGTTATCGTCATGCGATGATTTGCAGATACTTTATTTTTTACCACGATATTTTCGACGACGATGTTTTTAAACTGCGAAGTTTTTGAACCGCTTTATTTTCGACGACGATGTTTTGTACCACGATGTTTTAGAACTGCGATGTTTTCTCTTTGCGATGTTTTCTCCCACGATGTTTTGTAGCACGACGTTTTCGCCTTGCGTTGTTTTCTCCGCGACGTTTTCGTCCGCGATGTTTTTGCCGCGATGTTATCGGCGGACACCAATTCAATATCTGAATGTAGCCTGTTATGCACAAAACAACCAGATACAATTACAGGTTTAAACCCAGAGAATCAGTTTTTTGCCCAAAGACAAATAGACAAATAGTTTTAGCAAAGAATTAAGGTGATAAAATATTTATGAATTCAAGAAATGAGTTTATAATGCATCACAATTTCTCCTTTCGGAAGAAAAAAGAACCTCACCAAAATGAGAATCGAAGTACATTATAACACAATTTGCAATGTTTGCGTAAACAAAAATAAAATAAAATACGTAATTTCTCTGATAAGTTAAAAATTTTGTTATTTTTGATTATTTTACGTCGTGCTTTGGCTACATATTATGATTTATACATCATGTAATACAACCAATAGTACAATATCCCTTTAGAAATACCTTAAATAACGTTTTTAAAAATATACAAGAAAATCGTGTACTATAAGAAATTTAAGCAAATAATGTGACAAAAGTAGTTATTACAGCAGCATATAATTTTACAAAAGAATATCGTTATCTTAAATAGGTAAGTAAGTACTATTAAAAATATTAACATTAGTAATAATGAATATAAATTAACTTACCTTAGAATTTTTGGTTGGCTCAAAATTGTCTCGTTTTATTGAATAAATGCATTTCTTCTTCAATTCATTGAATAAATCCATTTCTTCTTCAATTCAGGATCTCTTGGGAAGGAAAATACGTGGACACGAGGTCCACCATTATAGTTTCCTTTACATAGGGGTACACAACATTTAAACACCATACTGAAGTAATATAAGTGCCTTAAAATATAATAATACTATAAGAATAATTGACGACGATTTTAAAACACGTGCATGTGCAACGGTTATGCCACACATCGACGAATTCACACCTGCAGCTTCGTTCAGCGCTCAGCCTAAGTGCGATGACTCATAGCTTCATTCTCGCACCAGTATTCCTTCTTTGTAATCTAGGTGGCGTTGGTTAGGCAGAGTGATGTGACATTTCCACACAAGTGGCGCTATCTCTAGGAAAACCTGAAATTTTTTTAACATGTATTGTAGAGGCATTAGGTTATTTGGAAAAGCCGGAGAGATGAAAAATGAGCAACGCCTTCGTCAGGAATCGAACCTCTAGAGTACCAGAACCACTACACCACGATGGCACGCTAGAAAGGTGAGAGAAATACTTTAGAGTGTTACTAATTATGAACAGCATGTGGCACTTCCGAACAGCCTATCAGAAACGATTATTGATATGATTTTGCTTAAGCAGTATCCGCTCCTGCTGTGGGTGTTGTTATGAGTATTTTTCATGCATTATTATTCCAAAGGGGCAATTTGCCCTGAAGGACTATTAATTTCATTTTAGCATTCTGCGTTCATTCATTACAAGCGTTGTTTCACTTTTCAAATTGTTGCCGCCAAATATTATTGCCCTGTATTATAGCTAAAGAAATTGTACATTGAAGAATTTGCATAAATGTCTGTATGTTTTTCGCATTGTGATAAAACAACGGTACTTAGAGCCATCCAGTTTTGAATAACGTAATCCTCCTGCGAATATAGGCAGCTGGAAACCCAAATTTGAAATTTGGAATTTGTTTTATCATCGATTTCATATTTTGCAAAACTTTAAAGAAATTTTGATTAACAAACTCAAGGATTTCAAAGCGAGCAATGGCAACGCTGTACAGAAAAAAACATTTTTATCTTCAGCGTGCGAGAATGTGTATTAGAAATTTTAAAGATATGGTCATTTGAAAATTATTTTGCGGTATTGCTATTGAACCGAATTTTATGGTTTAAGTGCGAAGAACAAGATGTTTAATAAATAAAGGTAACACACAAAACGCTAAAAAAAAACGCCCCTTTGGACGTAATTTAAAATCTGAAACCTTTCAGGTTTTTTATTTTATTATTTTTTTCACTTCCTTTTTAGAAAATTTTCTTAAAATAAATTTTAGCCTTACTCAAACATCTGAACATGCGCAGTCTTCAACCACTATCCGAATTGGCAGTGTCGCGTTAATGATAATTCTAAAGAGTATTAAAAGTTTTCTTTGTTCGTGGGCTCAGGATTTTAATAAAGGATTTTACATTTTTGCTTGTAAGAAACAAAATTTAAATTGTAAGATTTCCAAGATGATAAATAAAATCCCTTGATAATGTAGCAGTATTTTTCTGGTATTTTCCGAAACTTAGATAAAGAGTGTGAAAGGAAATTAAAAATGCTTGCAAGACAGATTAAAGGAGGCAGGTACCTTTTAAAGCTTTAACAGATCATAAAACCGATTTTTTAAAATGTTTTTATAATTAAAATTGAATTTCTTACAAGCAAAATTCAGGCAAACAAACCCCATGTCAAAATTCGCTTTACAATTAAAGTCGTGGTACAAAAATAGTTTTAAGCTTTTGCCATTTAAAAGGCCAGACGGCTAGTTTATATTTGCATTTCGGCAAATGCTCCATATTAAACCCGCTGAACTATATACTATGGATAAAAAGCTTCTGTATATCGTTTTATACAAATGTATATTTACACATGATAGGAAAGTTAACTTATTAACATATCTGACTATATATTTATAAATAAATAAAAATAAATAATGTACTTACAGGATTTCAAGGTAATTTCATTTCGTAATTAAGATTTCACAAAAACGAGATTTTCCTGCTTGAGTGTAGGATTTTTCTAAATTGGCTGATAAAAATTTCAAGAAATTATCAATAAAAATTCCAAGAAATTTTTATTGATAATACCCCTTTACTCTGTCTGTATAAAATGGCCAGTAATTGTGCTTCTGACCTGAAACCTTTTAGAAATATAATAAAATTTGAAAACATATGAAAACAACTACACACTTTTCAGTCTTTCAATTAAATTTATGATAATTATATATGCAATGTTGTTTAAATATGCAATTATGCATACTTACAAGTTTTACAAGTACATTTTTATATTTCTTTGCCAAGAAAGAAATACGCATTTACAAGATTTTGAAGGTCTTTGAATATCTTTAAGTCAACATTTCTCGAAACTGTAATTTTCTTATTTGTGTGCCCAATTTCTCCAAAAACTATTGGTCAGAATTGGAAAAAAAAAAAAAAAAAATAACAACTGTATAAACTGTAAGGGAGTTTAAAATGAGCAAATACTATGCCTCTCACATGTAAATTTTAGAAATTATCTGTTACGTTAAATTATCTATTATGTTAAAAAATAATCAGTTTTTGACTTTAGAGAAAAAAGTTATTCTTCTTAAAAAATGTTATTCTGTTATTTTTATCATAGGCCATTTTAATTGCATGTTATTATTATTATTTAAAAAAAACAGCTAAAAATAATGATTTGGTTGCACAGAATTCTGCACGCAGTACATATTACAACATTATGGATGGCAAAAAAGGTATTTTATTTTAAATATTTTATTATTTATTATTTACTATGCGGAAGAGAGGGATACCTTCGTGGAGGATTTTCTAAGTGAAACTGGCTCTTATTAACCCGTTACACATATACAGCCAGCCCATTCGTAGGATTCGATCCTGGGACTGAATTACCAGTGTTAAAGGACTTTACACCGCTCGGCCGCTGATGGGCCTATTTTAATATTTGGAATATAAAATAAAGGCAGGAAATACATTATCAAGGATTTAGAAAAAAGTATGCAACATTTCTCGCAGTTAAAGAAGTTGAGTTTTAAAAAGTGTTATATTTTTCGGATATTTTGGAAAAACCTGCCTCCTTAAGGTACTTATTATTCTTTGCATGTTGGCACGTGCATAATATAAACCTTTTGTTAAAATCTATATTTGTGCATTTCAGTAGCTTAAAATTTTATAACGCAAATCAAAGTGAGAGTCAGTATTCTAGGTTATCAAAGGATAATCAAGAAGACGGGGCTTTGTGTGGAAGTGCCACTAAACTATACAAACGTAACTGTTTGTGGGTGTATAGTTTAGTATAAATTATCCATTTAGCTATTATTGTTTCCTGTGCTGAAGTGTCCCTGCTTTTCGATTGGTAAGCAAGTATCGTTTGCGGAAGTGCCAGGAAATCAATGAAATTAAAGAAGTGTCTTAATTTCATTGATACTTTGTTACGAAAACACTTTTCACAGAAGCGATTAAATGTTCCAGATTCTGTTAGCCACATAAAAGTAAGATGGGCTAATAATCTTCTCATTTTTATGCGTCTG